TTGCTTATGTCTGTAATCCTAGCACTCTAGATGTCCAAAGTGGTAGGATCACTTGAAGAAAGGCTTTTGAGACCAGCCTGAGCAGGAGTGAGACCCTGTCTGTACAAAAAATAGGAAACATTAGCTGGGCATGGTCACGCATGCCCGTTGTCTCAGCTACTCAGGAGGCTGAGGCAGGAGGATAGTGGGAGCCCAGGAGTTTGAGGTTGCTGTGAGCTATGATGATGCCACTGCACTCTAACCAGGACAACAGAGCTAGACTCTGTCTCAAAAAACAAACAAACAAAAGTAATGCACATAAATTGAAAGAAAAAATTTTTTATATTATTCTTAAATAATCACACTAACAGATACGTGCCAGTCTAGCACAGCATAACTTTTTAAACTTTGGAGACAGATTGAAAGCTGCTACCAGCATTTCTTGTTCCACATTGAATTTCAAGAGTTATTTCCTTTTCATTACAGCAACTTTTAAAAAAACCTAGTTTTCCAATGATATGACATCATCTAAAGCAATGTTGCAGTCTAATATTTAAATACATAAACTACCTTGAGCTAATATGTTGTGCAATGTCCAACAGATCTTAAGTTTCTCTGTTTCCCTCAAAATTTGTTCCATGACCCCTTGTGGGTTTACTGTGGCATCTCATTCTCAGAGCACCTCTGTGCACTATTTCAGACAAAGGGATTAGGACAATGAAACCCTAGACACATTGAAATTAACTATGGTAAAGGCATTTAGAATGGCCTAATACACATGGCTCTGGGAAGCTGTAATGAAGTTAAAAGTCTGTCATTCAAGAGCCTCTTTATTTCTTCTTAGGCACTTGAGATAATGTCTTCAGAAACATTTTGAAAATTCTGAGGAATTCTGACAACAGTATTTGCAGAATTAGCTGGTGAAAGAGCTTTCCCTTAGTATGTAAGCTTCAGGAGGCCATGGAGTTTTATATCCTCAATGCCTAGAATAGTTTCTCTATATAAATGGTCCTTAATAAATATTTAATAAATTAATGAATAAAAGAGAAATGGACTCATTTACATTTTTGACTCTGTGTTTTTCACAGAATTGCAGAGTTGGCTTGGGTTTCATGTTTTTCTCTGGATACCTTTGGGAAAAGGTTAGTGTCCTTCCAAATGCAACCTAAGCTATAGTGTGGTTAGAGAATATATATGTAAAAGTTCCTACCACATAGGTGTGCTCAGTAAGTAGTTCGTTTGATCTTTTTTTTATAGGGAGCTGAAGTATGATGGTGGTGAGAAAATAGGCTTTCGAGTAGGACAAATCTGGGTTTGAACTGAGTTTTTAAAATTATATTATTAAATTATTATTAAATTAATATTAATTTAATAATAAATTAATTAATACTAATAATATTAGTTATTATATTATTAAATTATCAAATCATCACATTATTTTATTAATTGTTATTAAATTATCATTAAATTAATAATTTAAGAATATTAACATCAACATTATTAATATTAATTATTAGATTATTATTATTTAATTACATTATTAAATTATAGTTTATTTAATTATAATATTTCTTAATCATAAAATTTCTTAATTATAAAATTATAAATTATAATTATAATTATATAATTATAATTATAATTACATTATAATTTGTATTATATTATATTATCAACATTAATATTATATAATCAATAATTAATTAATAATATTAATAATTAATATTATATTATTACTATTATATAAATAATATAATATATAATTATACATTATAATATAAAAATATATATAAATTTCTTAAATTTTTTCTTGAAATTTAAGAAATTATAAATTTTATATAATATATTATGATACATTATATATTTATATATTAACTATTTATATAATAAATAAAAAAATTAATTATATATCATATAATTCATGATAAATTTTTTAAAATTATTATTACATTACTAAATTATATTATTTTACTAATTATTATTAGATTATTATTAAATTAATAACAATCTAATAATATTAATATTATTAATATTAATTATTAATATTAATAATTGTTGGATTGTTGTTGAATTATTATTATTTAATTATATTATTGAATTATAGTTTATTTAATTATAAAATTTCTGTGCATCTCGGTTCTTTTAATGTGTAATGCAGGAAGAAACATCTTATTATGTTGCTGTAAGGGTTAAATAAAGCATTAGTGCAATGCTTGAAATATAGGAAGTATTAAAGAAAACTATTATCCTAATAGATAATTTTCACTTTACTTGGCTCATCGCATTCCTCTCTCTGACAGTGAGTTTCAAGGCATATAAATAGAACTGTACATATGTGCATCAGGCACATGCTACCATAGGACCTTTGCACTGGCCTAGAATGCTCTTTCATTACATGTCCACTTCTTTCCTCTGAATCTTTGCTCAAATTCACCTTCTCAGTGAGGCCAAAGTGGAACTTCCTATTTATAATTGTACACCTTCATACTCCTAACCATGATCAGTCTTTTTCCCTAACACTTATCATCTTTTAATATACTATTTTCTATGTTGTATATTTCAGACTGCCCTTACAAGAACACACACTCCAGGAGGGCAGAGATTTTTGTCCGTTTTGTTCACTGATGCCTAAGGATGTAGATCAGTGCCCAACACAGGATAGGCACTCAACAAATATTTGTGAAATTGAATTGACTTGATTTATATTTCCACTGAATTTCAGACTTTGTAGTTTGGATCCGTTCAGTTTGTCAGTATGAATTTAAAAAATGATTATCTACTTTTATCTCCATCTTTTAAGTATGACCCATCGCCCACATCCCGTGCAACCAGTGCTCACTGGGGAGCGCTCCAGGCACCCAGCCTGGTTCAAATACTAGCTGTGCAAACCTTGGCAGTTTACTTAGCCTCTCTGTGTCTCAGTTGCATCACCTATACATGGTAGGAAAAGCCTGCTCTACTCCATAAAACTGTTGTGTGGATGCAATAAGGTAATATGCATGAAGTGCCCACAACAGTGCCCAGCACACATCCAATAAATATTAGCTATTATATTATGATTATATTTACAGCTAAGTCCAGGACCCTATCCCCTCAGTTCTGTTGTGTATCTTTATTGCTCCCTTACTGGGGTATGCATTCTTTCCTGACCCACCTCTTCTTTCATTTCCCTCCTCTTATCCAACAGTTCTGAAACTGATGTCAAGGTCTTTTCAGCTCCAACTTTCCTCTTTCCTTCACTAACATTTTTTTTTCTTTTGCATTTTCCATTTGACATTAGGCCCAAACTGCTTTCAGAAGCTCCAAGTAACTCCCTGACTAACCTGTGCCTGGACTAAAGCTTTCATGTTTTAACAATGTGATACTAAGAAAAATTCCCATGGAAACAAGAAAGAAAACTTTCTCACAAGTTTCTTTATTTGGCCTTAATCCAGAACCATATTACCTTTTATTACATAACTTACTCCATTTCATTCTAAGTTTTAGTTTGTTTTGTTTCGTTTTTAAAGTGTGGTCCCCTTAACACCTGTGCTTATACTATTTTAAAAAGAAAATAATTTCAGGTCTTGTAAAACAATTTAGGTTGCCTTGAAATTGATTTAGAAATTCCCTAATATGTATATGCTTTCTGAGCTTCACTCTGAGGCCAGGGGAAAAGAAAATATCCTATTCCCTGAGTAGGTTGTGCCATTTTATCTTGGGCTGTTAAGTCTGCCCTACCTCATGTCACCAGTCTCAGGGAAATGAAGCTGCCAGAGAACTTGGCTAAAGGTGGGGGTAAAAGGTCCAAAGGATTAAATTTCTGGCTCCCAAAATAACCCCTGAGTACTCCTGCCACCTCCAAATCAGGCACTGCACGCTTTTCATAGTGGCAGAGTGCCACCTCTCCGGCCCAATAGCAGGGGCCCTGATGAGCTATGGATACCCCTCTATCTCCACAGGACAGCCCCCTAGAGAGGCTGGAGAACCCACTGAATTAACTGTGGGCATGCAAGATGCATTTTCTCTTTTATACCCTCAAAATTGTTATTCTTTAATCTCCTCTCTTCTGTCTTCTCCACTCATCTCTGGGCTACTGGAAACACAATAGTGTTTTCCAAAATTCAGTAATTTGAGTGCCACGTTCATGATATTCCCCCTGGCCCCATCATATCCAAATCCCACCTGTACTATTTCTTTGTTAGCTCACTTTTTCACTTGAAAATTTTGAAGTGGAGCTATTAATGTATAGTACTGCTTCAAGTTTAAAACCAGTTTCTTTGCCATACATAAAAGGCTCTCTTATAAATATAATGAAAACAAAAATACACAATAATGGAATTTTAGTCGGATATGGCTTCTTGTTGCAGGCCTTTTGCCTAAATCCTGCTGTTAAGGAATGTTGGAGAGCTGTTAAAAGACTTATCAGCATCAAAGTAAGATTTGATCTTTGAAATATAGATATAGAAAGAGGACTAAAAAGAAAGCCTTTTCATTTACTTTGCATTTCCCCCTTTGGGAAATATTACTTTGAATTTTAGACTCACAAAGGTAAATAAATTTGTTGAATAGGCTTCCTCCCATTTCTTTCAAGAACTGAGTATAGAATTTGCTAACTGTACTCAAAAACTTTTTGCACATTTTTTCTCATCATTTGTTCACAACTTTTGACCAACTACCAGAGAATGTTTTGGATACAGGACTAATTTCTGTGGATCACAGAGTGTGACCAATGAATGGGACTTGGGATGTAATCTGGTCCAAATCTTGACCCATCTCATCTCCATTTTCCCTGATAGGTTTGGGGCCTAGGAAGATTTGCCCAAGGTCACAAAGAGAGTGGTCTAATATTTTGGTTCCTGGATCCCGGAGAACAAGCTATCCCCTTCCTTAGGAGGCTTGGTGAAAAGTTGCCTGGCTGGCAGATGGCCAAACTTCTCGCCTCCACCGTGTTGATCGCGGTCGCCATGGCAGCGGCTTATTATTCTCCGCCTCTTCTTGGTGACGTCAGGGGAACCGTGTCCAATGGGAAAGCAGCCCGGCGTCACACACCGCCTTTCCTGGCCCACACCGCCTTTCCTGGCCCGCACCGCCTTAGCGGCCGCCAGAGGAGCGTCGCCTGCGCGGCTGAGGTAGGCTCGGCTGGCGGCCGCGGCGAGTTACATCGTTTTCCTATCTGTCCGCGTTTGCCGCCGCCCAGGACGGAAACAGAATGTTCAGGATGCTGAGCAGCAACTTTGAGGATGATCCTTTCTTCTCGTGAGTGTCGAGGGCCAGGGGTCCGCGGTCGCGCGGGAATTCAGTAGTCTTGAGGGGGAGCCATGTGAAGGGACAAGAGCGACTTTTAGAGGGCGAGAGGGAATTCAGGGTGACTACAGGGACCGGCTTGCGGGAGAGAAGAACCTGGGGGCTTGGGAGGGAAAAGAGGGAGGTGGAGGGAAGAGGATGTGGGGGCCTCCCTCAGACACACGCGGGGTGCCGGTTGCTCTCAACGTGGCCCAGCTTCGGGTGCCCTCCCCCAGCGCTGCGAGGGCTTTGCAGGTGATGATAACTGCCATCTCAGTGGAAGTTCTAGTGAGAATTATGTTCAAGGGACCCTTTCCACACCAGCTTAAATTCTAAATCGGGGCGGGAATATTTTATATGATGACGATTCCGTGAAAAAGGAAACATTTTTTAAAACAGCGTTTTTCGTGCCCCTTGAGAGCGTAACAAAGGGAGTTGCGCGCTCTCCTCAGAGCGGTTAGAAGTTGCCAAGTGCACTGTTTGTTTTCCTTGCTCTCTTTGTTACAAGGCTAGCCTTGTTTGTGAAGTGACTCCTTTTTCTGTCAAAAGTAGAAATAGGGCAGGGAAGCAGACGTGGGTGCATTTAACACCTCAGGTAAACAAGTGCCATTACCCTGTGAAAGGTTCCCAGTAAAATAATGTGATACCCTAGGAAGAAGGCATTCAGTAATTAGTTCCACTCTGATCTAGTTTTCTGGGGGTTTTGGATTTAAATTCTTCCTTTGGCCATTATATAAATGTAATAACATACTCTAGTCGGATCCCTAAGACAGGAGGATATCTTTTTGTCCAAGGGTCTTGCCAGTTAGAATTTTGACTTGGTGTCTAGTTTATTTGATCCCTGTGTGACTGGAGACATTTTCAAAAAGGTTTTAAAATATTTACAGTTTGTTTCATGGATATTTTTATGTTTTTAAAGAAAAATGGTATATTGGCTTAAATGTGTCAGTACCAATTTAAAACAAAATAACATTAAAGTGATAATTGAAAAGATAAGCAGTAGAAAATGAAATGATTACTATAGAAAAAATAAAATGATTAACTTTTTTCTAAAGGTTATTCATTATATAATTAAGGAGTATGTGGACTCAGGAAAACTTATGCCATTTTAGTTAACTTGTTGATGTCATTTTAAGAAATTTAAAATATTGTATTTTTATGATTTTCTCTTTTAAAAGCCTCTGAGAGATATATCCATAGATGTCGTTGAGCTGTTTTAAGTGGTTCTTATGTAAATGTGATGTCAGTACAATGAGTATCACAATAAGATTGTGATAGACAATTTTAGAGTTATATTATATCCTTGATTATACCAAAAGGAGCGATGGCCTTAACTAAACCATGAATGTGTAATTAGTATCGTCTTTAAAATGTCTAGCAGAAGTGTAATTTAAACTCTTGGGTGACTCTTTCTGAGCAAGGCAATGAACCCAAGAGTCGGGGTCAGAAATAGTAACAGACCACAAATAGTAGGCATACATCAAAGAACACTCTTCCTCTGTGCTCAGGATGGAAAGGACCGTCAGTTACCTATCAATCAGCCTTTCAGTCATCACTATCTGTAGCCTTCTTAACTGCAGGCAGCCATGTCATAAAAAATTAAGGTAAAGTTATTGCAGTGAACTTCATAAACTGATTCATGCTTATAATTTCTCCACAATTATGTTTAAACACACTTTTTGGGTGAGGGAGAAAGAGAATGTGAGTTTATATTTATTTCAGGTAACTTGTTATTTGACCCACTGCTTTTACCACCACCTTCAAACAAAATGGATATCCATTTCTTCAGTGAAACATAAGGAATTCATAAAGGTGACAAACTCCTTATTAAATCATCCACTGACCTTAGGAACACAGAAGGGAAGTGGAACACATAGCTCATGCCCACCATCTTTTATATAAATATGGTCCTTGTTGATAACATTGTGTCTGGTCTTTGGGTTAGTTTAACATACAAAGTAGTCAATAAATATTGTTTAATGATGATCTTGTATCCTTTATTCCATGTTTTGTCAATCTGATGTGTTTGATTGCTGAAAATAATTGTCATTTGCATCTAACAAATGCAAAATTGTTGACATTGGCATTTTCTAGTTAGAACATTACCATTTTAAAAATAATCCATTAATTCACAGTCAAGGATAGTCAATATAAGCAAACTATACTGATTTACTAATTATTCAGAAGTAGACAGACAAAAATATATATACTTCTTGGATCTAAAATTAGAATTACTAAATAGTGTGAGACTGATAAAATACTGTAGTTAAACTGTTTAATAGTTAAAGATTTGAGTCAAAAATAATTAAAAGCAGTAGTTTTGAATTCAAATATGTTCAGTCTCAATATTACCTTCTAATAACAATGCATCTTAAATTTTTCATCATAAAATTAAAGGGAAAGGTTAAAAGTGATATTTTAAAATTTGGTGTTTCATTTACATACTGGGCATTTTTTAATGTTGGTATCTTATGTCTCAGCACAGAAATTATCTCAGTGCAAATTTGCCTTACGGTATATTCTGATACACTTTCTTAAATAATACTTGTAACTTGAATTGAAAACAACTTGCCTGGCATGTAGTTTTCTCTCAAGAATACTACTTTTCCCTCACATTTGTATTTGCTCAAGAATAGGTATTAATACATGGTTAAGTACATAAGTGTAAACAGGAAGATCAATTTGATGTTAAAATGGTTTTGGTATATATCCTATACCCTAAAGAACATTGGTTATTTAGTATAAAAGATTATATATATTTAGTATGATCCAGAATTTTCTATTTGGAACAGAAACAGGAGCTTTGAATCTTCTGAGCTACAGACGTATATTTCTGATTAGGCAAATCTCCAAAGAATAATTATTAAATATGTTACTGCTTATCAGCTATTAGAAATTATAGGCTCAGAAGCAGACTGGCAAATCTTTCAGCCTTATTTTTAATCATAAATTATTGTTATCTTTTCTTTAAACCACCCAACTCTTCACATAAGCATCATATGTTTGATGACCAGTCTTTGGTTAAAATATCCCTGCATGTATTCACAGGATGCTACTTCTTCCATCTCTTTACTCTCAGCAAGAGCTAAAACTTAAGTATTTATAATCTCTATTTTTAAAAATTGTCAGAAATATTTGTTTACTTGGTGCTTTAGAGGTAGTTGGATTTATTAAAGGATACTTCTTTAACCTATCCACAGACTGAGTTGAAAGTGAATGTATTCCATGTACAAGACATGCAGTGACTATTTTCTTGATTAAGAACATTCTCATAGCAGGAAATAAAATAAAATCACCTTATTACATAAGCTTTTGTAAACAGTGTTCAAGGTTTCTCACATATTTGTTTCAGACATACAGTCTGAGGTAATCTTCACCAAAATGTCATAGCTTGGTTCTAATTAGTATTCTGCTACATAAACCTCTCATTCTATTTTCAAGGTCCCACTTTATGTTTTATCTTAGGGCCCAGAATAGCAATTGACTTTTAGCACCTACTGTGATTGTTCTCAGAAATATTTAAGTATAGAAATTTCTTATAAGTGAATTTTGCAGATTTCAGCATTGTATTTGATAGAATGAGGCACTATAAGCCTTGACCTGAATTTCTAAGGTACATTATTCATTTGGAGCATTCTTTGGTTCATTATACCTTAAAGAGATACAAGTAGATCTACCTTTTGATCCAGCAATCTCACCACTGGGCATCTACGCAAAAGAACAAAAGGCATTCTATAAAAAAGACATCTACACTTGAATGTTTATAGCACCACAATTCACAATTGCAAAGATGTGGAAACAACCGAAGTGCCCATCAATACATGAGTGGATTAATAAAATGTGGTATATGTATACCATGGAGTTATAAGAAACATTGGTGATATAGCATGTCTTGTGTTATCCCTAGAATAGTGGAACCATTCTTTCTAAGTGAAGTATCCTCGAAAAATAGGAAACAACCCATGTAATCACCATCGCGACTGTTTTAACTGATGAACACTACTGCCCCTTCCAGAAATACGCATTTGCTTGGTTGTTGGGCAGTGGGAGGGGAGACGAAGGGAATGGTATATAATACATAATGAGTGTGATGACACTGTCTCGGGGATGGACACATTAAGCTCTGACTTGATGGGGGCCAGGCAAGGCATGTCTTGTGACCTAACTTTGTATCCCCATGATATGCTGAAATTTAAAAATAGGGAAAAAAGAATTAATGGGAAATTTATTTGCTTTTTTTTTTTTTTTTGTTATTTTCTTTTTTTTTTTATGTTGTTTTTTAGTTTATATTGTATATATAGTATCCTTACGTTTTGTTCTTAATATGTTAAAGTCTGTTTTGGGTTTGGAACAGGACTAAAATATATCCAATAACTAATGTCTGGTGTCTTATTTTACTATATTTCAAGTGAACTTTATAGACACATATTATTTCCTGTTATACCCCAACTTCCAACTAAAGAGACTCTTACTTCTGAGAAACCAGTTTCTAATGGTTGAAAATGGTCTAATTTCTGGATACCGTTGAAATTTTTCATTCTGTTGCTCTACAGAGCATCCTAACCTGCACATCATGAAGCAACATTTTCCTTTTATGACTTTAGTTTGCATGAGGATTTTCAGTGACTAGGAGGGAAGAGAAGTGGTGGTCGAGTAGCTGTCTTCTGGTGGATAATCATACCAGATAGGAGTTATGGCAAGAGAGCAATGCCAAGTAAGAGTAACTGACTTTAATGTTATAATTTTTTAGAATTGATACCCTGCCCTTGTGTACTCAATCATCTACACCAGCAGATGTCCTAAGACAGAGATTGTTGGACTTAATATGTTGGGTCAGGTATGCAGACAACCTGCTTGCTATGTTTAAGTCATTTACTAGTAATTTCTCGTTCTTTGCACTAACAGTTTTCTTTTTATAAAATTTAGTATTCGCAACATGCATGACAGGTCTGTGACAGTCTGTGAACACTTCA